ACCTGGGAACTAATGAGAAGTCCAGTTGCTTGAATTTCCAAATACTTGAGATGTTCTACATATCTTAATTGGTTTTATTTTTATTTCAATACTGCTATAGCCAGTCTTGTGTTATGGGCAGCATCTGGTATAGCTTGGTAACCGTAGCTTGTGTTCCCAGGGGGAAAAATAGCATTCTACAATTGTTGGATATATGAAACCTCATTCCAAAATCACCTCCACCCATTCACTGCCGACCCTATAGGACAGACAGAACTCTGAGTTTCCACGACTGTAACTCTTTATGGGAGTGGAAAGCCCAATCATTTCTCCTAGGAGCAGCTGGTGGTTTTGAACTGCTGACCTTATCAGTCACAGTCCAGTGTGTAAACACCATGCTGATATAGATGTCTGTAACTATCCATTTGTAACCCCGGTGGCACAATGGGCTACATGTTTGATGGCTAACAGAAAGGTCAGCAGTTTGAAACTACCAGCCACTCACAGGAGAAAGATGGGGCTTTCTACTCCCGTAAAGAAAGACAGTCTCAGAGACCTACAGGAGTGGTTCTCCGCTGTCCAACAGGGTCGCGATGAGTCAGAACTGGCTCGATGACTGTGAAGTGGGTTTTTTTTTTTTTTTAGATAAAATTGGTTTAAACTCTCATATCCTTACTTGTGCGATTTGCTGAGAAAGGGTTGTTAACATCTTCAACTATGACGGTGGTGTTTTCTATTTTTCCCTGTAGTTCTTAATGTGTTTGCCTTAGGTATTTGAAATCTCGTAGTAGGTATATAAACATCTCAGGTTTTATTGCTTCTGATGAATTAATCTTTGTATCACGACAAGTTGGCACCAATGGCTTGTTTGTTTGGGATCGTATGAAATGCCCCTCTTTGTCTTGAAGTCTTCGTGTTTGTTCCTCGGGGAGCCACCCCCGGCTTCCTTGTGCCTGTCTGGCCATTTCACTTTGAATCGGTGTCTTTGCATGACGGGTCTTTGTTCTTGTTTTGCTTTGCTGTGTAAATAACTAGGAAAAAATTTTAAAACAAAATCAGTTACCATGCAGCCCTCTCTGACTCCCCACGGTCCCAAGGGTGTCAGAGTGGCACTGGGCTCCGTGGGGTCTCAGTGGCTGGCTTTTCAGAGGTAGGTCCCCAGGACTTCGTCCACAGTGTGTCTGGCTAGACTTGAACGGCCAACCTTGTAGTCAGCAGCCAGGTGCAGTCGCTGCCGGGTGTAGTCCCCAGGGACTCCAGCCCACCACCGTGGAGTCACCGGACTCGTAGGGACACGAGAGGACAGAGTCCAGGCGTCATGCAGAACCCCCAGACTGTGAGTGCACACAGAAGCAAACGGCCACGTCTGTCTCCCTTGGAGTGGATGATGGCTCAAATGAGGACTTTCTGGTTATCGGCCGAGCGTTAATCACTGTGCAAGAGGGCCCTTATAAATGACACACCCAAACGCACTGCTGCCAAGGGGATTCCCGCGTAGTGAGGCCCTCCAGTGAGGGCCGAGTCTGACATGCTTTCTGAAATATCTACCTTTTCATTGACGTCACCACTTTTATTTTTAGCATGTATATGCCATCACTGAAAGTCTCTGTGGTGTGCACTCCCCGGTCGGCCGCTGTGAGGGACCGCTGGATGGCCCCCAGCACCCCCACCCCCAACACCACCACCATAAATATGTCCTGTGAGCTCCTTGGACAGAAGCCCCGATGGAGCAGGGTAAAGATCTACTGGGGTTATTTACCCAGAGTGGAATGACCAGTTTACAGGGTGGGCCTATTCGTAATCTCCCCAAACGCGGCCAGATTGAACGGCATGTGAGTGCACTAGTGGGAATGACCCAGGAGGATGGGCGGACATGCTGAAGAGAGCCCGGGGAGGACTGCCGTAGTAGGTGCCAGGGCACACTGGACACGTGCAGGGGTTCCACCGGGGTCTCCCACAGAGAGGGGGTGGGGAGTGGGGTCATCCTGGACCCAGATGCAGGCAGGTGGGTGGTCTAGCGGTAAGAACGCGGGGTGTTTTCTCCTGAGGCTTCTCTTTCTTTGATGGAGTAGGAAGCAACTTGGGTATGAGGATGGGGAGGAGGCCCTGGCTCGTCACAAAGACGAGGGAGCGGTGAGCCCGTGCGCTGGAAGATTAGAACCATTGCCGGGACCAAGGAGCCCAGTTGCCACTTGAGGTCAGCAGGAGCCGGCAGTATGCAGGCCTTGTCTCCGCGGGGCTCATGGAGAGGCCCGGGCACAGAGCAGGCTTGGGCAGGGTTTAGCATGCCTGGTTGGGCCACGCTGAGTGCTGGGCACTGTGCCTGGTGGGCGCTGTGGGCACAGGTCTGATCTTTGCAATGAGGCCCTTGAGAACTCACCTGTAGTGCAGCAGTGAGCAGAGAGCTATGTTATGCAGACTCACCTTTGTGCTGTGGGAGGGGAGGCATGTGTCGTGGACACTGTGCTTCCCGCGTTGGGTGGCCGGGGGTGGGGTGGGGTGGGGCTGTCCTTTTGAGATGGCTGCTCCTCTTCGGGGTGCTGCCTGCATAGCAAAGTGATACACACCCCTCCCTGCTGTTGAGCTGCAGCACCTGCAGGACAGGGTAGAACCGAGCCTGTGGATTTCCCAGACTCTCACTCTTTCCGGAAGTGGGAGCAGCTGGTGGTTTTGAACTGCTGACCTTGCGGTGAACAGTCCAATGTGTAACCACCACTGGGCCAGGGCTCCTTAGTCACACCACCCCAAAAGAAATTATGGACACGTAAACATCCATGCTGGCCCCAAAGATAACGGTGAGTACAGTGAACCCTCGTTTATCGCGGTTAATCGGTTCTAGACCCTACCGTGATAAATGAAATTCCGCGAAGTAGGATTCCTTATTTGTAAATCA